TTCACACCTTGCATTCCTACAGCAAAGCAAGAGCAGGACAAACTCCTCAGCCCTGGGTTTATGTAGCCGTAATCCCACCCATTGCCCTGCCCAGCAGCCCTAATCGCAGCCATAAATACATACAGGTGGGCAAGGAGAAGGTAAAATAGAGTATAGAAAGGGTGAACACCTCAGTGATGGAATAAACCCTTGATGGGATGACTGAGACTTCATATCCTTTGTTCAGAATATCAAGAGGTTTGTTGCTAAAATTGTTTTTATGCTACCTCCTACTAGAGTGTGTGTTGAAAGAGTTTTATTGTGGGGAAGGAAAGAGAATTATTAGGGGGGGAAAAACAGAAATGTTTGAGTGTGGAAGAAAGAGAACTATTTGGGGATGGGGGAAGAGCTATTGGGAGAAGAAAAAAGGTATTTGGAGGAGTGAGGAAGAGTTATGGGGAGTATTAAAAAGTTGTATTAGCTGAAGAAAGAGAATTAACTGGGGAACAAAGAGAAAGTTAGGAATAAGGAAGAAGAGAAAGAAGTACTAGTGGACGGAGAAAAGAAATTATTGGTGGGGGAAAATAATGATGGAGAAAAAGAATTATTGGGGAGAGAGAAAGAATTATTAGTGTAGGAGAACAAGAATTATAAAGTGGGAAGAGAAAATTGTTAGTGAGAGAGAAAGAGACATTATATTGAGAAACAAGGAATTATTGGCAGGTGAGAAGGAAGGATTGGGGGTGTAAGAAAGAATTCTAGGTGGGAGAGAAGGAGAATTATTAGAGGAACAAAAAGGACAATATTAGAGAGTAAGGAAAAAAGATTTTAGCAGTCAAGAAAATGAGAAATGTTAGTGTTAGAAAAAGAAATGAATGATTGTCCAAGAGAGAAAAATATGAAGGGGATGAGGAAAGCCCGCACAAAAGCCCATAGGGCCTCCCAGGCTCAGTGCGCACGGAGGCCCCGGGAGGCCACACGTGCCCATCAGTTTGGGGGGACTCTACGGGCTTTTGTGCGTCCTTCATGACCTCCGTGTGCACTGGGTCCGGGGGCTCTCCGGGCTTTTGTGCTTGCACGACTCTTGCATGTGTCCCAGGCCCAGTGCGCACGGAGGCCCCGGGAGGCCACACATGCCCATCAGTTTGGGGGGACTCTACGGGCTTTTGTGCATCCTTCATGACCTCCGTGTGCACTGGATCCGGGGGCCCTTTGGGCTTTTGTGCTTGCACTGACATTTCATGTATTGAAAGATTCATCTTCCTAGCTGCTGTCATGCTTCTGCTCAGCACTTCCATTTTGACCAGCATCTCCTGCTCCCTCATAGTCCTCACCATGCTGAGGATTCCATCTGCTTCAGGGAGACCGAAGGCTTCCTTCACCTGCACTGCCCAGCTGTTGGTACTTCTCCTGCTCTATAGAGCAGTCATATTTATTTATGCCATGACCAGTGGGCATGCCTCGCTAAATATGAATGGTGTCCCTTCTGAACACCCTGGCAACAGCACTGCTCAACCCTCTCATCTATACCTGGAAGAACAAGGAGGTGAAGACTGCCCTAAAAAGGGCAGTCATCAGAAATAAAATTCTTGACATAAAAAAGGAAGGGCAAAAAAACTAACTATTGTTGATGCTCTGGCAGGAAAATGATCTCCTGAACCATTCTGGGAAGCAGTTTTACCAGTAGATAGTGAGTAGAAAGAAGACATTAGTATTAAGAAGGCAGTATTGCTACTTTCTGTGTGACGGTATTTTAATTGCTTGTTAAATTGCTTGTTTTTCTGATGGGCTGTTTAGGGATTTAGCCTTTTGAAAGCCTGTGCAGGGGTGTTTGGGGGGCAGGATGCCCCATGCAGAGGAGTTTGGGGGACAGAACTGTGGTGTTTGAGGGGGCAAACCTGTGCGGGGCGTTTGTGAAGGGGCAGACCAGCCCATGCAGGGAGATGGGGGGCAGGATGCCCATGCGGGAAGTATTTCGCGGGCAGAACCCCCCACCATGCAGGATGCAGTGGAGGGACAGGACACCCTATGGCAGGGGTATTTGGGGGGCAGGATGCCCCTTAGCAAGGGGTATTTGGGGGGCAGGACGCC